GATAGGAAAGTTACTCTTGCTTTTTTTCTTTCTTTTTTTTTTTTTTTTTTTTTTTTTTTTTTTTTTTTTTGGTCTCTCGTCGCATGAAACAATTGTTCTCTCTCCTTTGATTTTCAGTCTGTGAACTTCCTTTCCAGTTAGATGTTTCTTGTATGCAGTATATCGATGGATCTTGTTTCTTGATCCACTCTCCTTGTCTTTCTTTTATTGCTGACCTGAGGCCATCTACATTAATGGTTACAACCAGCATACATTGGTTTGTCTCTGCCCTGCTATCCTCCTGTTGTTGGTCCTCCATTTTTCCCCTTCAATTGCCTGTCTTGCTTGATGATTCTTCTCTGCTGCTGTTCCTGGAACCATAGTCATCTTTATCTCTTTATATAATATTCTTTAGTACTTTCTGTACGGTTGGTTTGGTAGTCATGAATTCCTTCATTTGTTCTTTATCATGGAAGTTTCTTAGTTTTCCATCAATTTTGAAAGGTAGTTTTTCTGGGTAGAGCAATATGGGTTGGAAGTTGTTTTCTTTCAGGGTTTGAAACATTTCACTCAAAAGTCTTCTTGACTTGATGGTTTGTGTTGACATGTCTGCCATGATTCTGATGGTTTTCCATTATAACTGATCTGTCTCTTTTCTCTAACAGCTTTTAATATTCTGTTCTTGTGCTGAATTTCTGGGATCTTGATTATTATATGGGTGTAGATTTACTTTGGTTATGGCTAGTAGGAGTCCTATATGCCTCATTTATCTGCATGTTTTCTTCTATTATTTTTGTGAATATCATTTTAATTTCAATTGTGTTGACCCGATTCTTCAGTGATACCTATCACTCTTAAATTATGCTTCTTTGCATCATCTTGCAGCCATTGAGTTCTTCATTATTTTTAAGAGTTCTTTGTTATTTTTAAGAGATCTTTCCTTTCATGATCACTAGCTGCAATCCTGTCTTCAAGGTTTGAAAGTCTATCTTCAGTCTCTTTCAAGTGGTTTTGCCAGCTTTTGATTGAACTTTTAGTTTCCTGCATCTTTCTTTGGATCTGTTTCATGCACTGTAATTCCTTTCTACATTCATTCAAGGTTTCCATCATTTTCCTATGCTTCTGTCTATGCCTTCTTTAGATGTGCAGAACAATTCTTTCGATGTGTTTGTGATTTCTTCTTTTACCTGAGACATTATTTCTGATTTGACTGCTTTTACAATCTCATGAAGTTGTTTCCTTACTTTGCTTGCTATCCTCTCAGAGATTTCAGGTGTGTGACTTCTGTTTTCTTCCATGACCATATCTCCCAAACTTATTGCTAGAGGTCTGTGTTTGCCTTTTGCTCCTTGGTCTTGACATTCTCCTGAGTTCCTCCCAACAATCTGGTTGTGGGGTCCCAGGCACTTCCCACATTGGCTGCTCCTAAGCAGTGTAGGGGGATGGGACAGGCACCTGGGTTCCTCTAATTCCAGATTTACAGGGAGGAGGTTGGGTATGGAGTGGGCTTCTCCAGAGCTATGCAACTATACTGGGGCTTTGCTGATGATCAGGGGTGCATGTAGGTGGGGTTGCTTCTCTCAGCCTGTGTGTCTACACTAGGACTCCCATGATGGTGGCAGACATACACAGGTGTGTTTGTCTGATTCTGCTAGTGGATGATGGCTGTCTGAGGGAACCAAGGGCCTCAAATGGTGGCCTACAGATGCACACAGCTTAGCTGGCTGTGTGTCCTTGCTCCTGTGTGTCCTTGCTGCTGCAGGAAGGAGCCTCTGGTGGCAGCTCCCTAAAGGTGAAAGTGGATCTGCTGGTTCTCTGAGCCTACACCACCCTCTGTAAGATGTGGCCTTTTGGTGGCGGTGCATAGTGGGCAGAGATAGATTTGTCTGTCTCTTTTCAGCCTGCGCTGGGTACATGGGGCCTTCTGGCAGCAGCACCTGGCAAGCAGAGGTGAGCCTTCTCCTGGTTCTCTCTGCCTGCTGAGCACAAAGAGGAAAGGGCCTTCCAACAGTGGTGTCCAGCAGGCAGAGGTGGGCCTTTTCCTGGTTCTCTCTGCCTGCTTTTTAAAATAAAAAAAAAAAATTAGGAGCTGAGAAATGAATTGAGATTTCTAGAAAACTCCAAGTTACCTGTAAGGTACAATACACTTTTATATCAAAAGTGGAGAGAGAAAAGAACTGCCAGGTCTAGATGCAAACAAATCATTGTCAATATTATCCAGCTTCAAAGCGGCATAAATTGAATGGCATAGAATGAGAAAAATTTCACAGGTAAATCTCTTTCCTTGCAATACGTATTACAGGGCTTTTGAACTCTGCTCTTACCCTGCTGTACATCCAATGAAAATTACACCCTTTCATGTTTTTTGTCATTACTATATGTATCACAAAATAGAAGAAAGTTTTCAGATTGTGACTCACAGTGGTGACCTCCACTAGGTGCATCCACGTTTTCATGAGGTCAAGCACATCTGTGTGCAAACCTCCTCTTACTGTGAATGAGACGTCAGGGTGCCTGGGCTACAGAGTCATTTCCTACCATGAGATTGAATTGTCCAGCAGAGATGCTATGATTCCTCATGCTGCTCCCTGAAAGTGGAGTCATAAACTTGACCTACTAGGTTTATGAGTAGCTAGAGCCACAGAAAACTGTAATCCAGACCCCTTACTATAAAGGTACATAGTGAGTTACCCGAGATCTTCAGAGACTTCTGTATGGTCACAGAGGCAGCCATCCCAGGGGCAGACAGCTTTGCCTTGATTTGCCTGGAGAGAATGTGCCCAAGGTGCTCCAGCTACCCAGCTCTAAAGACTTCACTCCCAGCTAGCTTGGCTTCCTGGACTGCACTGAGAAGCCTGATCCTAGAGACTAGATATTACTAAGCTTCAGAGAACAACTATATTTCTTTTTTTTCACGGACAACTATCTTAAGAAACAAGCAGACAACCAGAGAACTCTGAGAGAAAACTGGAGTCTGCTCATCTGGTCAGACCTTAAATGCCATCTTGGACCACAGCCTGCTCCAGCCCTGGGTAAGCTCCTCCAGATACACAGCCTACCACAGTCACTCGGTGTCATCTACCCTTCTCACGAGTTCTCATACCCACACCAATCTGGCATTCCCTCCTCCTCCGCCCACCGTATGTGGCATCGGCCTGTTATGTGGAGGCCTGGACACCAGATACCGAGAAAGCAGTTTTTCACTCAAAGTGTGAAGGCTGGAAGAGAGAACATAGACACAACTTACAGAGGCATGCAACAGGTAGTGAAGACCAGCACTGCATTGCCACTCATGCATAGACCTTCAGGGTTAGCAAGGTGAAGACTGAGTCTCCCACTGTCCTCCCATCAGGTGCCATCCTCCGCCATACCTCTGCTTCTGCTCTGACTGAGCTATGCAACACCTTCCATACTGACTCACTACAGCTCATTTAGTAAACTGCTCAGGGTTGAGTGTTTGTACTATATTCCTATTTATGTGTGAATATTTCTTTAGAATAAATTAATGGAAATGATAGTACTAGAGGACTAAGGATATAGCTCACTGCACTTTCCTCTTATGTACAAGGCCCTGGGTTTCATCCTCAGTACCAGAAGGAAAAGAAAAGGTGGAAATGGGCAAACACTAACTTTTTCTAAGCCTTTTGTCACACATTGCTTTCCAGAAAGCATATCAGTTTTCAAATACAGTCTGACAAAGTCATTTTTTTTACATACTCACTTTTAAATTCCTACTGTTTATTACTAGACCATAATAAACTACCAATTAATGTTATTTTTTTCTCTTTAATATCTTCTTGATGTTTTTCCTTTTGCTTCAAATATCTTCATTATAATCTTTCCTTTGGACCCAGTGAACCAATATTAGAAATTTCTTTTTTCGAATAAAGATGACATTTTCTGATTAGTCAATCAGCAAAGATATATTCATGTAAATACAAACTCTTAGATATTAGCCATGGGGATATTTGCCTTGATACATATAATATATATTGGTATATATAATACATTGATATATTATATTATAAATATATATTAATATGTATTAATATAATATATATTAATATATATTATCTATATTGCCTTTCCATAGGGAAGGTTTGTTTCTCTGACACCTACTAATAGATATGGGTATGGATATAGATATAATATATATATATATATATATATATATATATATATATATATGTTATGAATGTATAAGTTTTGGTGAATGCGAGAAAAACAATATACAGTGTGGGGCTTCCTTAAACTGATCACTGGATGTCTTGAGTTGTGGGATGGAGATTTCCATCTGAGATGCTCTAGGAAATATGACTGCCTATGAGATATTGATACACAAATCAATAGCACTATATATTGCATGAGCCACTGAATATAAGCAATTCAAGAACAATTCAAAAACAGATAACTTAGTGATTACAGTGGAAGAGTAGTTATTGAAGAGTAGGAAGGCTGACTTGAGAAGGAGTGTGAGAAAGGCTGATGAAAATATTCTGTATTTGATCTGAATAGCAGACATGTGCCTCTACACAAATGTAAAGTGTTACTGCGAAATATAATTTAGATTTGTGGTTTTCATAACATAATATATTCAGAAGTATGTATGTGTTTACTGCTTTCTCAATAGGGATGTCAATGGAAGATATGAAGTTTTAAAGAATGACATGGAAAAATAAATGATTGCGTGAAATACAAGGGAAAGAATGAGTGGAATATGATAGTTTTATTTATGAAAAATCTAATAAATTGACGTGATTACATCTGAGTAAGACATCAGGAGAATGCCAAGATATGTGATATGTGATATGTGAGTGTACCAGTTTCAAAGGTGAATGTAATTACTAGGGATCACACACTAATAAAATTTTTATTTTATTAATCTGAAAGTATATATTAATTCATAAGGAAACACATTTTAAAAATGAAGTTACTTTCCATGTGCACCAAGTACTGATGTAAGAATTATATGTTTTGTTGGTTTTTTTAAAGCCCAGGGCTGTGGATGTATTTCAGTGGTAAAGCAGGCATTTAGCACACATGACACCTTGGGCTCCATTCCCAGCACCAAAAAGCAAAAATAAGTCAAACTGCATACTTTATATAATCAACAAAATACCAACATAGATTTGTATATCCAAAATAATTAACTAGCAAACCTTTTGCCAGTTTTATAGTTTCATTATCAACTGACTTGGCCTTTTTATATTCATTTAACAAGTAGAGATTAAGTTCCACACAGAGGAGACTGTTCAAGTATAAAATTTGCCTGTTTTCTTGGGCAATTTTTACTGTTTAAACCGTTTGGAACTTAGGCACTTGTCGTTGATTTCAGTTATAACTGGATTCAGTTCATCAGGAATTTTTTTTCCCAACCTTTTAACGACATTCAAATTGGGAAAATTCATGAAGAAGATAGGTAGGTTATAAATACCAGATGTGGATATTTTTGGCACTCTGACAATTCCTTCTCTTGCATTTTAATAAATACCAACTTCTGTTAACTCTCAGCTGATACTTTTCATTATATGTATGAACTTTCACAATAAAAGTATTAGTTTATTATTTATTTATTTTTGAGACAGAGTTTCACTATGTAGTTCAGGTTGGCCTTTAACTCACTATTTATGCCAGGGTGGCCTTGAACTTGAGGTGATCCTCCTGCCTCAGCATGCTGAGTGCTAGGATTACAGATGTGTGTGATCATGCCTGGAAGAAAGCATTAGTTTTTGAAGAAACTCAAATGAAAGTTTGCCGCTTAACCACTAGTTAGGATTTCTAACAAGAAATTATTTTAGAAGCATCATCTACTTCATTTCATATTTTTATATTAAACAATTATAATTCAGGGGAAAATAAAGGAAATAGTATTCAGTGATAAGACATTTCAATTTAAAGGGTTCTGAAATTAGATGATTTATGGGAAATTTTTTATAAAGACAAATGGCTGATTTTTCTTCTTTCACAAAATTTTTATGTGTACTTCCTCAATGAAATAGATGAAGCTTAGTAGCCTTTCCCCCTTTTGAAAATTGCAAACATGAATGTGTAATTATATTATCCCCCAGGAAAGCTTTAAAGGTGGGACATGCCTTTCCCTCCACCTTCCTTTTGACTGGGATGACAAGAACTGTCTTTCTCGGTGTTTTTCTCCTCCTCTGCCTCTTCCACGGTAAGTCACTGAGAATGTAACCCCAAAGGAGGGGTGGTTACTTAATGCAGAGTCACTGCATGACCAAGTGAAGTGGTAAGTGAGATCATTTCAAAAGCACTGCTGTGTACACCACCACCTCCTGCTTCTTGTTCTAAACCCCCTTTTCTGAATGTTAAGTTCCACCCTGTAAACTCCAGACACTTACACCAAAACCTGAGTAAGCTCAGCTAATAATAATAAGAGCTAGCACTGATGAGCACTTACTGTATTTCAGCTCTGATCTGAACATTTTACTTACACATATGAACGTATTTAATCCTTGTGACAGCCCAGTAAGTTAGGCAGGTTTTCTGTTCCCCCATTTTATAGAGGAGAAAGCCAAGATGTAGTGTATTATACATTATTATTCCTAAACTAGAACACACACACCAAACTAAATTGAAAGTACTTATAAATATGGCCAAATGAGTAAATTAAATTGAAAAAGAGGAAGCATAGATGCAGCTTCCTAGCACTTATTCCTCTTATGAGTGTTCTTTTCCACTAATTTCAACATTCCTTCACTTATAAAAAGAACCACAAAAGGAAATGATAGTTTTCAGTTCCTTTAGAGGAATTGAAAGAACATTTACAGTGCCTCAAACTAGGTGCTATTCATAAGCATGTCTTCAACAGATGCATTCAAACACCATCATGGGATGTTTTTATCTCTCAGTAAAATGCAGAGATGCTCTGTGCTGGATCAAAAGTTAATAAAGCTGAACCTCTTAAAGTCAAGGGATTGCAGAAGGAGCAGAGAAGACCGCAGTGTCAGAGATTTAATGTACACAGGCACCCCTGGGGGTCTAATGAAAAGGAAGTGGTCTCGCATGAAGCCTGAACTCTGCATTTCTAACCAGCTCAGTGTACGGATAATACTGGGTGTGGAGACCACAGCTCAGTAGGAGGAATCTATATTCACAAGCATCTATATTCATTCTTGGAGACTTGTGGTTCCAAATCCTGAGGTCAACAGCTTGTGAGCCTAAAATGAACAGATGCTATACACTGAAGAAACCGAGCAGCTGTACCCCAATGGGTCTGCAGCACTAGGCATTGCCACTAGGGAGAAAGCAGAGCCAACCTCTGCCAAAGCTCCTGGCTCTTCCTGGAAAGCTGGAAATGTGAATGGTATGAGAACTGCCCCAATTTTAAATGATTGACAATTAATATAAGTTTTGAAAATTATATGCAAGAAAAACACACCGAGCCTGGTCTACAAACCCACAGTGAAGGCCTCTGTTTCCTGCATCCCTTCTATGACTAAATGCAGTGGCCCACAGTTCTGATTGTTCCTTGTAGAGATGAGCCAGACTCAAACTGCATAGGTTGGGCCTCTGCTGCATTGTAATTCCTTATAATTCTCCCCTGCAAAAGAGAGGAAAAATTAATAGGTAAAAACTCAAAGAAAACATCTTCAATGTTTTGGATAGTGAAAAATGATTCAGGGGAATTGCATTACTTTTGCTGAACACATGGGAAGACAAGAAAAAAGAAAATTCAGCATAAAAGGAAATTTGGTTTTTGATACTTCTCAGAGCTGTCCATAGAGCAGAAGGTAGTTATTTTAAAAGATATCATCATCTTGTTTATAACACATGTTTAAATATCTCCATCTATTCATGACTCTATATAAAATAAATTGTATACAGGATATTCTTCTATTAATAAAGTCATACATGGATAACACACTTCAGAAATAGTCATATAAAAAGAATATTCATTTTATATCTACCTTAAAGCATTATACACACTCAGTGGTTGAGTTGGAATATATCGGGTAGTAGACATGTTAATAAAATCAGTACATTTTTAGAGACTGGAGAAAGGATATGGGATCTGAGAGCATAACTAAGTATTCTGGAAACTGAAGAACTAGTCACCAAAAAGATTTGCAAGTTAATGTATCTTTAGCTGCAGTGAAAAATGTCAGGACAGAGGTGTTGGAAGGAAGAAGGCTATGAATGCTGAGTGTGGAACCCAGTAGACAGCTGAGAGAAAGAGACACAGAGACAGAGAGAGACAGAGCTGAAACTGCCAGAAGGAGTGCAGGACCTGCAGAGAGGTCGAGGGTAAGGCCCCATGTGAGCTCTCCAACTCTGGGCCCCTAGCACAGATCTGAGTCCTGGGTGGGTCTCCAAAGGCAAGCGATGCGCTCCATTGATCATAAATGCAGGAGGAAAACTTCCTCGGGCCTGTCCTAAAGAACAGATTATATAATCTCCCAGGCAGCTGATGCAGTCCAGGAAAAACTAAAGCATCCAGCAGGAAGGGATGACAGAAGGCCTGGAATACACAGAAGCAGCTGGGGACACCGTGCATTTGCCAAGAACAAAGGCATGGACTTCAACCAAATTCTTTGTTTTGTATTTGTCTCTGCCATTCATGCAAGTTTAATTATTAAGACTGCATCTTTCCTTAATTGCAAATATAGCAACTAGCTGAAAGGAATGTTTTGGGAAACAGTTCATTTTAATTGTCTAGTAAAAGCTCCTTTCTTAAAAAAATTTTGTTGTTGTTGCTTGAACATCAGCTAAGGATTGAAAATCTGTTACAGTCAGTGAGAAAACAAACATGAATGTTCCCAAGTGTCTTTAGATGAAGTTGAACCTAACAACAGTCAACAGGTAAATAAGACTCATCAGCCAAACTGTTTTCTATTAAATTGCCTCTTCTAAATAAAAAATAAGTTACAAATCCTAAATTGGCATAGGGAGATAAAAAATGTATCATACAGAATATCTACTATGTTTTTTAGATTATCAATTATCATTATTAAATTATAAAGTACAAACACGGTGGTGATCATTATGTATTGAAAGATGGAAACAGTGAATCCTAGGTTTCATTTTTTTCTCAGGTACAGAACAGTTTTGTTTTGTTTTGTTTTTTGTACCAGGCATTGAACTCACAACCGTGAGCTTACCAGGCAAGCGCTTATGCTGCTGAGCTAAACCCCTGATTCAGAAGAATATTTTATTCTGAGCTATTTTTAATGGTAACGAGCTCCTCATCACTGGTCAGAGTTCCCCGTAGGAATTATTAGAGAGCAGAGTTCCTCACCATCTGGGCCTGTTAGGAAGCAGACCCCACAGCAAGATGTGAGTGGTGGGCCAGTAAGCAAAGCTTCATCTCTAGTTGCACGCTCTCTCCCATTGCTCTCAGTGACACCTGAGCTTCCTGTCAAATGAGCTGTATCATTAGATTCCCATGGGACTGTAAATCCTATCATGAATTTTGCATTTGAGGAACCTAGACTATGTGCTCTTTATGAGACTCTAAAGCATGACACTCTGAGGTGGAGCTGAGGACGTGATACTAGCTTTGGGAAGCAGCTGCAAATACAGACTAACGTTAGCAGACAAGTTTGACTACAGAAGGACCATAATAAATCAATAGATTTCAAAACCCTATCAGTAAGTGGCAAGTAACAATTAAGCTGCACCTGGTGGCAGGTTTGATAGTGGCAGGGGAGTTGATGTAGTTCAGCTATATAGCTGCATCTGGAGAGGGCTTTAAGTCAGAATCTGATATTTATCTTAGTGCATGTGTGGCCCACTCATTTTATTTACCACTTCTATGTCTTTTTCCTCCACATTGTGCTCTTATCCCAGTAACAGCTTTTGGTAACTCCACAAATCAATCCTAGCCAAAATGAGAAAAAAAATCACTGGAGAGCTTCTAAGACTGTTAGAAAAAAAAGAAAGCTGAATTAAAAGAAAATATCAGGAGTTCTATTTAAATTATGCCTTCATTACAACAAACGCTTTACATTCTTGAAGCCCACTTTATGTAATACGTGTCCATTTAAATCATAAAACCTTCAAAACTGCTTTGCCACATGGAAGCCAAGCACCATACAATAAAAGACAAGTCTGGAGTCTCTTTTTTAAAAAAGTGAACACAAAGCACAGAAGCATTGATGGCCAACACTCCATCAAATGTGTTTCCAATGGAAGCATCATTCTTAGTGGACAATATTGCTAAAGCTAAGAAGCCCTTTACCATTGGTGAAGAGTTGAACTTAGTCGTGAACTTTTAGGAGAGGTTACAGTTTTAAAAAACCAGTATGTGTGCCTCTTTTGGCTAACACCATGACTAGACAAATTGATGAGACAGCAGATGATATTGACACATGATTGTCAGATTTAATAAGTCACTGTGGCATCTGATCCAGGTTGACAAGTGTACTGATGTTGACAAAAAGTAAACAATGCTTTTGGAGAGGCTGTATGTGAACATATGTTATGTGCACATCTGTTGGGGACCAACATCCCAGACACAGAACTATTCAAGTCTTTGATTATATATCAGGAAAACTGACTTGGTCATTTTGTGCTGGTATGTGGATATAGTGGTTATCATGTCTTGCTGGCTTTCTGGTTTCACTTCTCTGGTGAAAGAGGTGGTTTCAAAATTAGTCCACACTTTTGTGTCATCCAGAAAGAAATGCTGGCTAGCCAAAAAAAGTCACCTGAACTTGACAACATTTTGCAGGATGTGACTAAAAATAGTTAAATTACAGAAAGTACATTCCCTTTACTCATGTGTGTTCATACAGCTGAGTAAGCAAATGGATGCAGGACACACATCTCCTGTACACAGAAGTGAGGTAGCTGTCTTAAATTGCTGCCCAGAGTTTTGGAGTGACAGTGACACAGAATGGGTCACAAAACATACTTAGTTGCTTGACATATTCAGCCTGCTCAATGAAAACCTTCTCTCACTTCGGTGGAAAATGATAGCTATGTTGAAGCTGGTGGGTAAAAATGGCTACACTCAAAGTCAAGCTGGAATTATGAGGGCAATGGGTGGACACTGGGATTTCTGACATCTTTCAAACATTAACAGGGATTTTGAAAAAGACTGAGCCAGGTTTTTCCTTCCAGCTGGTGACTGGTCATCTGTGTCCTTTCTAAAAAGTGTTCCACTTATGAATAACATAGTCAAGCCCACTTCATTTATGCCAGAAGATCAACTGCTTGAGATCACAAATAACTGTGACCTCAGAACAGTACATTTGAGACAACTTTTAGTCACCATTTGCTCTAGGTCAAAGGCAAGGCAGAATATCATGAGACTGCCCCCACTGCAGTGAAAAGTCTACCCCACTGCCAGTGTTCTACCTTTGTGAAGCAGAGTTTTGTGCAGTGACAGCCACTAAAATGAGATTTCAGAATAGAGAAGACAGGAGCAAATCACTGTCTCTCATCACCATCTAGTTACAGGCAAACAAGTGCAGGGCTCCCACTGCTTGTGTATTATGGTGAGTGATATACTTATTTCATTATGCCTTACAATGTAGTAATGATAGAAATGAAGTGCACAGTAAGTGCTATAATGCTCTTGACATCACCAAATCATCCCTCCCCATCACCGCAACCAGGGAAAAGTCATCTTCTACAGAACTAGTCCTTGCTGCTGGGTGGTCTGGGAACTGCTGCTAGAAAGGACTTCTGAATTGATAAACCCAGTGGCTCCCCAATGCTAGTTTAGGCATCCATAGCCAAGTCATACCCCTTCAGTTATGTCTCCCTATCTACAAGGCAAATTCCCAGGCCCATCTCCTACTGACTAACACAGGTCCATGCTAGCTCTAGGCATCTGTAGATTTGATTTTAACCACGCAGATACGTCAGATACACATAGAGATTTAGAAACCAATTTCCTAGATAACGTCTTTCCAATCTTATTTATGCCACCTGAATTCAAGAATTTATAGGCTAGTTTCTACATTATCAAAGTTAATAACATTTTTGAGCCACTGAATTTGAGTACTAAAGATAACAAATATGTATTATTTATCATGTAACAAATATTTATGACAAACTATTATGGATAATATGCTACCTTAGGCATTGAAATGAAGTCCTAACAATGGATATATCACTGAAATTAAATCAACTGTTTTAATTAGGTACCAAAAATTCAATAAATCTTAATCGACTAAGTTGTTTAGACCACCTGTCCTCATTTCTAACTAGTCCAATTCATTAATGCAGTATACGCCTTAAAATTTTTCTCACTAAATACTCAAAATAATTTAAATTTTGTGCATTTTCATACTTTTTTGAAATGCTCCTACTCTTTGAAATTTGAAAATCACAGCTTTAATTTTGGATCTCTCACTTGCTCATTTTTTTCTGATCTTTAATATTTTCCCTTTATTTTTATTCCCGTACTTGGAGATGTTGGAAGTGTGATTTGTAGGTCATGTAATCTCTCAGTCCCCTTCCATGGATGCCTTCTAGACTTTGGAACCTGCAAAACAAAGCCTGGTCAATTTTGCATAAAAGAGACTCATGTGAAAGGTAAGTCTTTATAATAAAATCCATGTATAATTACAGTTAAGCGCTGGGAAGATCCTTGTAGCAGAGAATATTCACTGAGCATTCCAGATATTATACTAAGGGTTTTGTTGGGACAATACTACACCAATAATGCAATGACATGAGTTGGATGTCTCCTAGTAATATTATCATTTTAAAACGGAAAAATCTAAGGTACAGAGAGATTAAGTTATTTGTGCAAATTACACAGCTAATGACTGCTGTAACCAACATTCAAATACAAGTAATTTGACTCCTACAAACCTCATCATTTAAACCATTCATATTTTTATGTGTATATGTGATACTGGGGGTTGAACTCAGGTCCTTCATAATGACCTACATTCCCATATCTCTGTTAAATTACCCAAACTTGGTTAAAATTCACCTGTAATTCCCACCTTAGTCTCCCAGACTGCTGGGATTACAAGTGTATACCATGAAGCCAGGCTCTTACAAAAATCAATGCGTAATTTGTGGAGCCCTTCTAAAGGTAGCCCTGTGCATCAAGACAGAGCATGTTCATACGAAGCTGCTTTGTTTACTGTTTTTGACTAAAAATTTAAATATAAAAAAATCCAAACAATGAAAGCAGTAAAACTGCATGTCCTATTTAAAATTTCAAATAAAGGAGGCCTCTTTAACACACAAAACCCAAAGTCAGAAAGGAAATGATAAATTCTAAAAAGAAAAAAAAAATCAATGAAATAGGAAGGTAATTCTTAGAAGAGACAATATAAATAAACCAAAAAACAAAAAGGCTACTTAGTTTTGTTATCAGAAAAAAAGAAAATTCAATGTAAGTTACCGAAATAATGAAGACTTCTTACCCTTCACACTGGAACGATGTATAAAGTTTTAACCAGGTATGGTAGCCCAGGCTTGTAACTCTAAGTACTTGGGAGGCTCAGGTAAGAGGACTGTGAGATTAAGGCCAACCTGGGCAACTCTGTCTGAAGATAAACTGAAGAGAATAGATACATAGCTCAGTGGTAGACTGCCTGCCCTTGGGTTCCAGACCCAGTACACAATTTTATTTTTAGCAACGTTTAATGACAGTGTGGGGAAGTAGTAACTCTCATACCTTTCCAGTCACAGTTTAGATTCATTCAATATATTTTACATAATTTGTATATTTTCATTAAAATTTAAATGAGCACAGATCTCTACAAAGGAGTTCTTTTCCTTGGTATTTACCACAGAGAACTGTGTATATGTAAAGGCATATATCAAAGTTATCATTACAGCATTATATTTAATAGTGAAGCAACAGAACTGGCTTAAATACCTAGAAGAGACTGTTACATTATGTTATATTAGAGCTATGGAATGCAATGGTGCAATGCTTGGAATGAACTAGATCCATTTGTTAACATGTAAATGTTAACAAATGTTGCTCTGTGTACTGGTCAGCTTTCTTGGTGCTAGGACACAACATCCAACACCCACACTTTAAAAGGAGAGAAATTTAATTCAGTTCATGATTTTAGAGGACTCAATCCATGACTAGCATGCCCTAAGGCAGGAACATCACGGTGGAAGGGTGTGGTGGAACACAGCTGCTTAGTTCATAGTGATAGGAGAGCAGAGGGAGGGAGCAGTACCAGTTCAAGGTCCAAAGCCTGGAAGCCCATTGTAAAGCTGTTGATCTGATTCCACACTGAAAGACAGAAGAAATGATGTCCAAAGGTAGTGGCAGTAAGACACCTGCTCGAGCAGTCTGGAGCTGTTTCAAAAGGAGCCAGTTTTCCCTGTTTCTCTTTCATTATTCCATCCTGGCTACAAGCCTATTAGTTGGGGCCATCCACAGCCAGGGTGGGTCATCTTCCTTCAGTTTACTGGCCTGTCAAGTTACCAGTCCTCTCTGGAAACTTGCCACAGACACACCCAGAAGTATACTTTATTAATCTAGGTATTTATTAACCCAGTCAAGTGACATAATTAACATTCACACTGAGAAAAAAGTCAGTTGCAGAATTATACAGACAGCGTATCACATATGATACCCTTGATCTTAGCCCAAAAGCCACGAACAGTATTACATGTGCATATAAATCAACAAAGCAAAACTCTTAAATTTCTCCATGGAATTAGAAGTAGAGAACATTTAAAGGGAATCAAAGTTAATTGGGAAAAGAAGGAGAATCATGGGGTCACTTCTCAAAGGCTTTTGGTATTAAGAAGATCCCTGAGCTCTTTTCAACAACCTCCCCTCTCTAAGCTCTGCGTCCCTCCCCTCCGTTGGCAAAGCCAAGGCCCCTTGTGGCTTTACATCATTGGCTCCCAGATGCTACCTTCTACTCCTGAATGAGGACAGAGACCCCGACACCAAAATAAGAATGTGTTCTCTGTCTAAAAAAGAGCCTAGGAGCTTACACAGCAAAATATAAACAACACCTCCTGACAGTCAAAGATCTAGAATGAATGACTGTAATGCTATGGGAGGAAGAGTTTCCTAACGGGAAATTTTGCCATTTCACACTAAAACAACAAAGTCAGCCATAATATTTTAATAGTTTCTTCAATAGGATTTCTCAACATAGCATTATTGGCATTTGGCACAATGACAGTAATTCTTTATTATGGAGAGCAGTTGCTATTATTTGGACCTTGAATGTAGCTGAAAGGTCCAGATGTATTGACGGCTTGGTCCCCCATGGGCTGCTGGCAGGTAGTGGAACCTCCAGGAGGTGGGCCCGATGGGAGGAAGTTAGGTCATTGGTCGCATGCCCCAGCCTGCACCCCACTCCATTCCTGTCTTATTTCCTGGTATGAAGCAGTGGCTTCCTTTGCTGTGCTCTTCCCTCATGTTTGCACTATCTAATTGACAGGCCCCCATGCAATGAGCCAATGGACCATGGACTACCAGCCAACATACAGCTTTCATCTTTTTAAACCAGTTATCTTAGATATTTTGTCAGTGTGCAGAAAAGCTAATAGAAGAGTCTTCTGTATCGTCAGCTGTATCACCCTACCAATATCTACTTCTGGAGTGCCCAGAGCACCTCCTCTACTTATTTCACTGCCCCATCCAGTTGTGATAATAAAAATGTCTCTGGGCCTGTCTAACATCCTGGAGTCAGGGATGCAAAAACACTTCCAGCTGAAACACCACTGTTTCTCGTGGTGTTTCTCATGCCGCTATACGGGAATTGTTCCTCGTGTCCTCCTCCATATGATCAAAGCTCAGGAGGGCAGAACTGAGGGAAGTCATGTCATTTATTCTGTTTATACTTTTATGCATTTTTGTTTACATTTTCTACAGTAAATACTCTTCTTAAACCAGGAGAAGAAATAAGTAGGATCATATATAAGCCCCATTGCTGAGAACTTTCTTATTTCTGTGATTTTTCTTTGGATTTGGCCACTGAGTAACTTCTGACCTGGGCAAGTTAGCAAATATTATCAGCCAGCTTCCAAACAACTGCAAACACCACAGAAATTTCTACACAGTCAGTGGCAATCACATGGCTTTTATTAGCCTGACGTGGAAAGCTATTCTGCTTTGTAATTTCAAAACCTGTGTATTGCAACTAAACTAAAGTAAGAGTTCTTAAAGACAAAAGGATGGAATGAGTCATTCTTGGAGGTAGAAACTCTAGATTTGATAAACCTGGAGGTTTACTGTGTTTTTCTTTGTCTTAAAAGTTAATTCAGTGAAGCATCTGAGGCCAGATGGATTGTACTTCCCAAGATATTACCCTGTCTCAATGTGGTTTTTTTCTCGCAGGTGGCATTAAATGGTTTACAGTTAAAGGTTGTACAGAAGACGTATCAGAGTGTTCCAGGCTTAAACATATAAACGTCTATGAAACTCACTTTACCATCTGCTGCCGTGAAGCTCTGTGTAATTTCTGAAAAAGTGGCCATATTTCAAGTTGGTCGGTCTCAAAGCCTGACTTGTTTCTCATAAGATGACAGCTACTGCCAATTAGCTGTCTTCAAAAACCTTAGACTTTTGCAAGTCATGGAGCTTACAATCTGAAATTGACTTTGGCTTTCAAAGTACTCGACTCCAACTCAGAGACAACTCTCAACACCATCTCTCTCCTCTCCTCCTTCCACTTATTAATCCCATTTCCTGTCACGGCAATTTAAAACAAGGAAAATGAGTCTTCACGTGAAACTAAGCACACTGTGTCTTATTAGTTTATTTCCCAAAATATTCCCATACTGCAAAATATATTTATGAATGAACTGAATTTCAAGACACTAAGTGATGTAAGAGTTCATTCAGCTTCCAAAATAGACTATCTTGTCCCCATAGAGTATGGTAGGGGAGGAACTGACTTAATAAACACCATACGAAAAAAATAAGCCATGAATCAGTAAACCACGCCAGTGACAACTAAGTACCCAAATGGCAGAGACAGGGTGAGGGCATTTATTTCTTCCATTGGCATCAGGATCTATCTAAACCCTGTATCTCCATACCTCCCACGCCAAAGGGCTTTGTCTAATGCTGGTAGATTAAGCAATCCTAGTTAAGTGGGGGAACTGGCTGTCTTTAAAAGTTTTAAAACAGGTGTGACTATATTTTAAACTACATCTCACATTTTTCTGATATTGATTATTCCAATTTAGTGCCTTATTTTTGCTACTGAGTATTGTGTTTTAAACTTAAAGTTGTGTTTCTCTGCATTTTCAGGAGCTCAAAAAATAAACAGAGTAAACAAAAGCTTCTTTGGTTGTCTTTTTCTAAGGTCTTAAGACGTCTCACATGTGGGCTTTAACTCATCCTTTTCTATACATTTCGATGAAAAACAAATGTTTTTTAAAAGCCCAAGAAAACTAGGCTTTATCCTCCCACTCATTTTAGTTTTGTTCCTCAGATCATATTTCTGGGCCTAAGGGAAAAGAAAATTCCTTCAATTTTATATTTAAATCCAGCTGCCCCCATACTGTTACTCTGCATAAGTCCCACCGGTAAAC